TTTTTAATATTCCGGGTAAATAACTTGTTAGTTTGTTGAATAATTTTATTTTCTTCAATTTTCAAGACTCCTTGGTGGACATAGAATTAGCGTATTTTTACCTCTTCTAAAATAATCTAACACTACTTTTTTGGGGATTTTTATGTTTAAAAAAAATTTTTTTAACCTCAAAACTAATAATAATTATTTTCACATAAAAGAAGTACAAAAACGTCTCAGCACACAATCACCACAAAGGTCCATGGTGCGAATAAAATTTATTGTCCTTACCGCATGTAAAGTATGACATTGAAAAAACCGAGCAGAAAGCGGGTGTCTTTTGATCTATAGTCGAACAAAAATTTAACATTTATATTATCCAAAGAAATTGATTTGCAAATCGAAGTAGATTCAGCATTTGTCTTGTCCAGCATATCATCATCATTTTATGAGTTGGAACTTAAATTTAGTAGCAACATATTCCTTACTTTGCACTTTTCGTTGGCTCCATCTTCTTTAAATTATTAATTGGATATATTTAAAATTAATTTCTCACTATACAATTGTAATTGTTTTTTTAAATGCAAATGGCAAATGGTAATCACTGTTTGCTCAAAAGTAGAATATAATTCGAATGGATTGGTAAAATAATTATTTTTTTAATACTAACCTGCAAGCGGCGCCGAAAGTATGAAAATTTTTTTATCCCTAAGAATAGGGTTAAAAACTAAAAAACTTGTGAAGACGGATAATTTGTTTATATATAAAATTATCGCTGTAACGAGTGATAGACTTTGGCTCATAATCAATAAGGTTAATTAGTACATACTTTGATGGACAAACGCCTCGGAATACTCGCAATACACAAAAAAAATTGTTAAATTTATTGCGTGTAGTTTTCAAGATGATGTTATTTTAACGATCATTAAAAATTTGCATTAATTTGAACACACTCGTTGTGTTATCTTAACACCAAAAGTAGGTTAAAATTACACTGGGTAGGTTAAAAATGTTGCGTGTTGTTTTAACACCACCTTAGGTGTTAAAATAACACTTCTTTTTTTGTAACATATAATCTAACAATTATTTAATTTATATGAACGAAATTTCTAGTTATATAAGATTATAAGTTATAAAAATCAATGTTTCACAAATTTAATTAAATTTCAACATAACTTTGTAGAAGAATACAAATTTTTAATATAACCTACATTAACAAAATTTAACAACATAAGATTTAACTTAAGTAACAAAAACTTCAGCAGAGTTGAGAATTATATGTCGACAAATTGGGTATACTTCTTCTGTAAATAAGATGTGACACTCGCTGCACATGCATAAATGCCTACATGGCAGAAACAAGAATGTGGGGAAATTTTCTAAACAAATACAACATCTGGTTGGTTGTCGTGCTTGTTGCTCTGCTGGTTGTTCTCCTTGTTGTTCTGCTGGTTGTTGCGCTTGTTCCTCTGCGTTTTCATTAAATAGTAGAAACAAAATATTAATTTTTGTATCAAGGGCGCAAAATAGATGATTGCGACAATGACGATATTAAGGGACCGAGGGTACACAATTTTGCACCCAAGGTCCCTTAATCTCGCATGAGTAAAAATTTGTTGTTCTACCTGCATGGCAAGTATGTCATTGAGGGCATGAGCGATTATTTCTTTAAAATAGTGAAAACAGAAAACTCTGTAGAAAAGCATAATGCGTTCTAATAATTTGAATTGATAATATCTCTTTCTCTTAATCCGCTTATTATTTTGCATCTGAATTAGGTGCCTGAAATTACATACTTTCTGTGTAGGTAACAAAAATATTTTCTCATTTGATGTTTTGTAAATATGTAATTTAATACTTTTCTATAAACTGACATTTAGGATATCAATTCTACAAAGATTAAGATTTAAAAAAATGATTTTGTTAATCACATACAGTGCTTAGTTTTTTGAGAAAGTAATAAATTATTTAAAAATTCAATCACAGGACAGTTCCTCCACAGCACCAAAACTTTCCTAAAAATTTATTAAATACTTATTTGCAATATTCGGAATATTTAATTGCAATGTTTATTGAAAGTTGTGTAAAGATTTAAATGTCCCGATTAAATAAATGTTTAGTGTGAACATTTCCTGAAAATTTTCGCTTAATTATAATTATAATTAGGCGAAGATTTTATTGAAATGTTCAGAAAATGTTCACACTAAACATTTATTTAATTGGGACATTTAAATCTTTACACAACTTTCACTAAACTTTTCAGTTAAATATGCCGAATATTGCAAGTAAATATTTAATAAATATTTAGGAAAATTTCGGTGCTGTGGCGGTTGATACGACTATGAGTTTTGTCTACAGACGTTCATGAGGATTGTTACAATTTTGTATTAATCCTCATTGAAATACAATTCTGAAGGGGATTTCGTGATCTTAAATTAGGATTTATGTCATCTTATTACCAATAATATCTCTCCTTGGAGCTACCAGATCTTCAGGACGAAAAAAATTAATTATGTCTACCGGTGCTTCATCTATGTGCATGGCATCATCTTAAAATAAATACACAACAATCAAAGAATGAAATAATAATAAAAACACATAACATGTTTTATTTTATTTAAAGTTAATTTTTAATACCTGAAAAAAATAAATATTCGAAAAAATTATTTTTTATTACTACTTTACTGAAATTTCTTTTTTAGAAGAAAAATTTGTTTTTATCATTATCTTTTTTCATTCGTTAGAGACAAAATTCTAGGTAAATTTTCATACTCAAAACTTCCTGATGATCATTTTCGTTCACGGCTTCATTCACAATGAGGGGAAGTTCTCGGTTTTCAAACTGTTTAACACCTCTTGCTCTTCCTATACTTCTAAGGCGTCCACCAACCCTTGCTCTTCCTGCACCTCTAGGACGTGCTGCACCTCTAGGGCGCGCTGCACCTCTCGGGCGTTCTCTGGCACGTCCTCTCATCACGACAGGATTTCTCGCCATGATAGGTCCTCTTGGGAGTGCCAGACCTCTAGGAAGAATGGGATCTCTCAGCAGTGCAGGGTCTTGTGGAATTATTTGATCTTGCTGATCTAGTTGAACATCTTGATTATTTTGTAATGGATCATCAACATCAATTTCATCTTCAATAATGTTGTGTGGTTCGACACCTTTTCATCATTATTATTATTATTATTATTATTATTATTATTATTATTATTATTATTATTATTATTATTATTATTATTATTATTATTATTATTATTATTTATTTTTAGATAATACATTTCTATTAAATATAATTTATATAATGTATTATTTAGTCATTCATTTATATTTCCATGTATCTCGGATTTCATTATAATGCTGTTGTCTTCTTTCTAGTCTCGCTTGGATTTCATGGAGGTCTTCAAGCAGTTACCATTAAAAAGAAAAATTCGTATGAAAGTTAAAGAAATTTAGTTATTCTTAATATCTTTATCCTTAAAAAGTTCATTTAGGGTAATTGGAAACAGTTGAAGTTTATGCTAAATTTATATATTTTATAAGTAGGTATGATATTAATATTTAAACCTCACAATCACTTAAAAGAGGTTTTGAGCAATTATTAATTTTTCAATTGAACATTGTTTGGAAGTATATACCAAGAGAATTTCCAATAGATAAAAAGTTGATAATCAATGTGCAACATTATTTCAGTATGTTGTCTTGTATTTAAAAAAATAATTCAAATAATTTTGAAAAAAATGTGATTATTAGGGGAAAAACTAGCAGGTTGCCCCACTTAAGCTTTTTTTCTCGTAACTCATAAAAAATAAAAATTAAGTTATATGAACATACCACCATAAAGAAGACCTAAAAAGCTACAAATTCGACTCTTATATAATTTAAATTGGCAAAAATAAAATTTTTACATCAAATTTTAAAAATGATGTAAAATCGACGTAATGAAATTTAGGTTTGCTGGTTGACCTACCACGAAAAATTGATAATAATATGGAAAAACTCCAATAAATTTATGGAAATTTATTAAATTTTTCTTACATTTAATATTTCTGAACATAATAATTTCAATTAAAATTTTTTAAACAATTTATTAATAAATAAAATTTTTTTCAATTGAAAATAAAACGAAAAACAAGATATGTAAAGAAAAAGAAATTTCGGAAATCGTTTTAATTTACTTCAATTTTGTAACACTGTAGATTTTACATCTCTCAAATTCCTCGACCGTGATGTGGACGTGAAGCCCCCTTTTTATTACTAATAATATTGTTAAACTATGAAAGGGGTAATTATAAATAATGTAAATAAAGAATACACACTTAATGTCAAAATACTATAATTTGACTGTCAAAGAGTTCGAGAGCGCATCCTAGCAACAATGTTAATTAAGAATAATTTCTGCCTTAATTTTATTGTTTTGTTTAAGCTCGTTGGACGCAGCTTTCAATAGCGCGAGTCTAACCAATCACTAATAAGTCCTTGGTCTCGGAGTGAAAAGGACTCGGAACACAACTTGAGGGCGTTTAAGTCAGATGAGCAACGTAAAAACAAGGAACAATATTCCTTGCAACAAATGATTATATTTGTTATTTATTTTATTTATTTTGCACTACTCCGAAGCTCAAAGAAAGGCCAGTCCAAAATTAGTTGCTGTTTCGTGAATAATATTAGATCGACGCCTAAGGTGGCTGCAACCCGTCTTACATAGGTTGATTAGAATTAGATTTTATCGACAGGATTACAGCCACTCAAAATTGTATCCAACGAGTTGTAACGAACGAGCTGCCGCTAGGCGCTCGTTCTTCACGTTTTTAACGTCACGGTGGGTGGACAGACAAAATTAAGAGATTCTGGAAATTATACTTTAAATTATCAAAATTTATAAAATTATCTCAACAAATTTATCGAGGTCCTAAATTGAAATAAGGAAAAATAAGAAATAATAAAATTGTGGAATAATGGTGAGTTAGAATATTTATTCGCCATAATAATAAATTCACTTTGTTTTCTCACTTGATATTCGTTCGCTCTCCGACTCTTAGCAAGTCTGTTTTCTTTCAAATGTTAATTGTTTCTCAAAGTTTTAAATATATAGAATAAATGTGAGTTATGTGTGTAAAAGTTAAGTGTTTATTTATTTAACAAAAGTCACTACTCGTTCCTACACCTAGTCGGCAAAATTACTTATTATAAATATTCTAATCTAAATTCTAAATTCTAAATATGGCTTGTATTTTCTTATAAATATTAGAGGAGCAGCCAGGCGCTCAAAATTAAAATAAATAATAAAGATCGCCTTTATAATTTCTCGCCACCAGAGTTGTTTTCCCCAATTCTAAGTCTCTAATTTTCAATAAATGAACCGGCGTGGCGACAGGTTATAAATGGCGCCCAACAAAAATGTGGTGACTTAGGGAAATTACATACACACTCACAATTATTCAAGCAAGCATGCTATATTTTCTATCATTGCTTTGCTCTCTCATATTTGCTTTTTGTTAATAAACTTATCACTGTTTTATATATGACTCCCTGAATTTTTCCTTCCTGCCACCCGTCAGTAAAAATCCTGTAAATAGTTGTTTTAAGTACCGGTGTTATTTTCTCGGCGTGAGAAGCACGAGGAACGATGAAATTTCCTCTCATCTCCCCCGCCATTACCGCGCCGTGTATCTAGCAACAGGTAAAAGCATGTAAAATTTCTCTCTTTCGCAAGTGAATGCTTTCTCTCTCGCACTACAGCGCGACATCCGTACGAGCGAACGCAAGTAGTTCCAGCCATATTGAAACGTCACATCTACCGCGCAGCGCAGTAGACCACTTAGCGACGTTCATAGCTCAGAGGACAGTCCGACATTTTAGTTCGCGCTCTCCCTCCACAGCCGCGTTACTTCTCACTCACTCCCATACGAAAGAATACAGCTATACCAAAGCTATATACAACGTCGAAAATCAATAACGATCCGTCACTTTAAAACTATACTCGTGAAGCTTATTAATGATTTCTTACTATCATTAATAAAATATTGCACTATTTAATGCAATCGATTAATTGAGTTAATTAATGAAGTTTAAATATGTCAACAACTTGATTAATTTAATTAATAAAATCTATATTTTACAGGTAAATAATAGTTTCTGTTTTCTTTAATTAAACAAGAAACGAAATGGTTGATATAATGACCAATAAAAATTATTAGAGCAAAATTTCGTTTTAAAAATCAAAAATAGAATTTAATTTCGTAAATAACGGTTGAAATAATAACCAATAAAATTATTGAGGTGACATTTTATTTCAATAATCAAAAATTAAATTTTGTTTTGACTAATTGTTTTTCTGTTCTTTTCCAATATACAAAGAACAAAACGGTTAAAATAATAACCAATAAATTGTTGAAATTTCATTTCATTTCAATAATTAAAAATTAAATTTTGTTCTTAAATACTTGTTCTTCTGTTCTTTTCCAATATACAAAGAACAAAATGGTTGAAACAATAACCAATAAAAATTATTAAATTTGATAATTGAATTTAATAAAAATTAAATTAAACAATTAAATTAAATATTATTATTAAATTTTGTTTAATTAAATAAAATTTTGTTTTGCTCACACTTTAATGGGAAATTATTGTTCAAGGATAAATATAATAATTAGTTGAAATAATAACCGATATTAAAAAGAGAATGAAATTAATTGGTGAACTTCATTAATTCATTTAATTTATTAATTGATCAATAGAATTGAAAGTTGATTAAGTAATTAATAAAATATTTATTTTCTTGATAATCAAAAATTAAAATTTTATTTTTTTCCTCGAGTTTAATAAAATTTTAAAATGTCGAATCTCCAAGATAGATTAATCTGGTTATTTACGCTTAATGAGACTGATCTGCGCAGACTTGCGCTGGAATTTTACGTAAACCCTACTGGACTATTACCAGTAATTCGCGACAGAATTATTCGATTTTTACACAAACGTGAAGGTAATACAAATGTTCCATGGGACACAAGCGATTATTATTATCCAGAACAAGCTCGCGACGACCGTACTCTCAGCGACATAATACCAGTAAACAATCTTTCTTCAACGATTCATAAAGCGCACCAAACAGTTGACGGCTCGCTCGTAACACCAACCACTACAAGTACAGTGACTACGACGACTAACACTACAACTGTCACAACAGGCTCGCTTTATACACGACCACCTAATACCTCGGTTTCATTCGCTAATCATTCGCGGGACACTCATCAAAATTACAGTTCTCACCTACACGGTAATTCGAACTTATATATGCCACAAGCGCATTCAAGTAACTATTACAAAATACAGGAAGAGACTGTTGATAACACGCCCTCTTGCGAACAACTAGGAAACCCTAGCAAACCGTCTAACGAGCAAAGCTTTAAACACAACAATTATTTTCTTAACGCAACCGACGATGTTCTTAACCCTTACGAAAATATTAGCGATCACCTTCATCGTCCAAACACAGCGCCACAACCACAACCGGATCAATTATCAACACCAAACCAACTCGAAAACCCTCCTCAACAAACCTACACTAAAAGCAATAGGTACGATATCGGAAAAATAGTTCGACATTGGGACATAAAATTCAACGGCTCAACAAATATTAGCGCAGAAAACTTTTTGACAAAAATCGACGAATGCCGAATTTTTTCCCCACTCTCGGACAGAGACATAATAAGCGCACTGCCGCTCTTACTCACCGATATAGCCCTAATTTGGTATAGAAATTGTAGAGATCAAGGGGAATTATGGGAAAATTGGTACGATTTTAAACAATCATTCCGATTGCGCTTCGGTGACGAAAATTTCGACTATCGCCTACGCGATCAGATAAGAACGCGAACGCAAGGCGCGAAAGAACGAGTCAAAGATTATTTGACTTGTTTACAAGGGTTATACCATAAATTACATCGAAGAATACCGCTCGACGAACAACTAGACTACGCACACCGTGGACTTCGACCGGAATTTAAACGTGTTATAAAAAGAAACGAAGTATTTAGTTTCGATAGGTTAGCTAGAATAGGCCAGGAATGGGAAGCAGAATGGGCGACAATAAAAGAATACAAGCCCCCACCAACACCGGAATTTTCATTTTTGCCAGAATTTGCCTACAGAGAAAATAAAACGACGAGCGCTAAAGTTGCAGCTGTTAGTGAGACTCCACAAACTAATACAACTCCCCCAGCTGAAACTGAATGCGCCGCGTTACAAAACAAAAATCCCGATAGGCAAAATAAAAACAAATCAAAAGAAAATACTCCGAAGAAAAACGGGAATAAGGCGCGTAAAACAGCAGCCCCTAAACCTGAAACAAACGTTTCAGCTATACAATCTACTTCGTCACTACCAGTAGACACATGCGCACTATTGTGCCGCAACTGTCTCTGCCATGGTATTCCTGGTCCACACGGTCACCTTGCTTCTGATTGCGAAAAAGAAAAACTAACATTTTGCTACAAATGTGGTAGACTCGGAGTGAAAACTCCCGAGTGCCCTACACCACAATGTCAAACAAAATCGAAACCGGGAAACGGCAAACGTGCCCAGTGAGCAAGGTCCCCACTGGGCATAGTTTATCCGACCCGCCTCCGTCTTCGGCCTTGTCGGATGAACTCCTTTGTTCGCGGTCGCCAGAATCTGGAGGGGGAAGGGTACAAGCAGAACTACCTTTTATCGATTCAGACTGCTCTGCTCTAAACATTAGTAATTTAAACGAACGATTCTTCGTAAAAATAAAAATCGGGAATACGGAACTAAATGCACTTATAGATAGCGGATCGTCCAGATCTATACTAAATGAAAACGGCGTAAAATTGTCCGAAAAATTAGGTCTGAACTTAACACAATCCAAAATCAAAGCGATAGTTTTCCCAAATGGCGCTTCCCAGTCGACAGTAGGACAAGTTAACCTACCGTGTGAGATAGGAACCGTAATTAAAGAACTTCCTTTTGTGATAGTAAAAGATTTTAATTACGAGTGCATTCTCGGTATGGACGCTATTCGAGTATTCAAATTACTACTAGACGGTAGTACTAATACGGTCAGAATTATTCCCGATATCGAAACGTTCGCCCCAGTAATCGACCTACTTTGTTCACCCGAGAGATCTGAAGGCGAAAACTGTTCAGCCCTAAAGGAACTCACGAGTGAGCAAATTGATTTAGTCGAAGAATTCTTAACGTTATATGCAAAGACTTCCAAAAATTTAGGTAGAACACACTTACTAGAACATAAAATCGACGTTGGAGATCATCCTCCAATTAGAGCTAAGTTCGTTAGACGTTCCCCCGCTATCATGGTAGAAATGAACAAGTTGATTGATAAGTTAATTGCACTCGACATTATAGAACCTTCCAAAAGCGGTTGGAATTCAAGAATAGTAATAGTGCGTAAACCTAATGGCACTTATAGACTTTGTAATGACTATAGAGACGTCAATAAAGTCTCTAAAAAGGATGCGTACACACTGCCATCAATGTCTAACATACTAGACACCCTCCAAGAAGCCAATTATATTTCTTCGATAGATCTCGAGCTAGCATTCCATCAAGTTCCGCTGGAACTGCAAAGCAGAGAAGTCACAGCGTTTTCTGTGCCTGGAAGAGGTCATTTTCAATATAAGACAATGCCCTTCGGCCTTACGGGTTCTCCGGCGACCTTCCAGCGCCTTATCGAAAAAATTTTAGGCCCTGACATGGAACCTTTTGTCTTTTCGTATTTGGACGATGTAATAGTGGCAACACAAACTTTTGAGGACCACATGAAATGGTTAAAAGAAGTTCTCAGGCGCATTAAAGAAGCAGGCCTTACTATCAACCCTGACAAATGCATGTTTTTTAGGAATGAGATACGTTACTTAGGTTTCATTGTTAACAATGAGGGCGTCAAAATAGACCCAGCTAAGTTAGCTCCAGTTCTAGACTTCCCTTCACCTCAAAACTTGCGTCAGCTGCGCAGATTCTTAGGCTTCGCCTCGTGGTATAGGCGCTTTATACCGAACCTGTCAACAGTCGCAGAACCTTTGACCTTGCTGCTTCGCTCTAAGCAACAGTGGAAGTGGGAGAGCGATCAGGAATCCGCTTTTAAAACTATCAAAGAAGCATTGACTTCTGCCCCGGTAGTAGCGTGCCCTGACTTCTCCAAACCCTTCACCCTGCAAACAGACGCGAGCGGATCCGGGTTAGGCGCGGTCCTAATACAAATTCAGGACGATTCCGAGCGCGTTATATCTTACGCCAGCCACACGTTATCTAAGGCTGAGAGAAATTATTCGGCAACCGAACGAGAATGCCTAGCGGTCGTATGGGCAATCGAGAAATTTAGAGCATATTTGGAAGCAGACCACTTCACAGTTGTGACTGATCACCACAGCTTGAAGTGGCTGAAATCCCTCAAGGATCCCACCAGTAGGCTAGCAAACTGGTCCTTAAAACTCTCAAAATATGATTTCGATATACAATACCGAAAAGGTTCGTTAAATGTTGTACCCGATTTCCTCTCACGTTTAGACCAAGACGCGGAAATAACGGAACCGGTCTCTGCAATTGTTGACACTAACGACGAGTGGTACCTTAAAAGAAAGGCAGACATCATGCGCCACCCTCACGCTTTTCCCAATTGGAAAATTGAGAATAATCTTCTATACCACCATCTAACTAATAAAATTATTGATTTCACTATCCCCGATTTGAACGACTGGAAACTCGTGTTACCCAAAGAATTTCATAATAAAGTAATGAGCGAGGCACATGATGAGCCTCAAGCTGGACACCAAGGTGTCGACCGCACGTTTCACCGCGTCTCACTTCGTTATTACTGGCCCGGTTAGTACCGCGACGTCGCGAAATACGTAAAAAGTTGCCATGTCTGCCAGATTAGTAAAACGGAAGCAAAAAAGCCGATCGGCGAAATGGGTCATTGCGTAGTCGAGCAGCCGTGGTTCATGGTAGGCGCCGATATCATGGGCCCATACACTCCTTCGTCCGCCCAACATCAATACATCTTAATATTTCAAGATTTCTTTACCCGGTGGATCGAAGTAGTACCTCTTCGAAAAGCGACAGGTCCGGCTATCATCAAAGCCTTTAAAGATGTCGTCATCAATCGTTGGGGAAGCCCCTCATTTTTATTTACCGACAATGGGACCGAATTTTCCAACAAAGCGGTAGAAGAGCTCTGCAAAACCTATAAAATACGTGCTAGTAAAACCCCAAAATATCACCCCAGGCGAACCCTGTGGAGAGGGTTAATAGAGTAATGAAAGCAATGTTGCGCTCATATATAAAGGCAACACAACGGAAGTGGGATGAATATCTAGCAGACTTTCGTTTCGCTTTCAATACAGCGCAGCATTCCTCTATTAAGACCTCTCCGGCCTTCTTAAACCTGGGACGAGACCCACTTCCAACGGGAACGGTATTTGAACAACTCGCGCTCGAAAAAGAACAGCCACCCCTCTCTAGGAATGTCGACACCTGGAAAGAGAGAATGCTAAAAATCGAAGCCGTGCGCGATCTCGTTAAGCTGCACTTAGATAGGGCACAGACCAAACAGGCGCATCACTATAATTTGCGACGCCGCCCACATACGTTTGAAATCGACGATAAAGTTCTACAACGGGATAGAACACTCTCCTCCGCCGCAAAGGGAGTGACAGCGTCACTATTACCGGTTTTTAATCCGGAAGTATTCATTATATCGAGAAAATTATCGGACTCAGTCTTCGAACTGACGGATGGCAAAGGAAAGATTTTACCACTTTCATTTCACTCTAAAGACCTGAGACCATATATCCTTCCGAATGATTAGATTAGAACCTTAATTCTACACCGAACTCTTCTATGTGTCACAGGAGAATTTAAACTTTAACCACTATCAACCAGAGGTAATGCCGGTGAATGGGAGACTAAAGTTGGTCTACCCACACATTATCTTCGGTCCTTTTCCCGACATTTTCTACGTCGGCAACCCTGACATGCCCATCCTTAATTACTGGGGGCAATATCATCTTCTGCGCGGGTCAGTAAACCCAAACCAACCTAGGGCCGACAGTGAGCCAGAGGAGCCCGAAGACCAAGAGGAAGCACGTCCGGAAGTGCCACCCCCTTTACCACGACCTAGAAAACGAGGCTGCCGCGCAGGGCGCCAGGTTAGGGAGAAAAGAGAGGCCGCAATAGCCTGGGACAGGCTAGTAAAGGAGGAAAAGTTGATTCGTCGTTGGAGAACGTCCCACGAAAGCATTCCTTGGCACGAACTCCAAGCCGAATGATTTCATTCTCTTCTTTTCTCTTCTCAACCTAAATGAAAATTTTATTTTTTTATTTTCCAAAGGAAGTCAGAATGACTCCTCCTTTTCTACCTTATTTCTATCACAATTTAACTTTGTTTTCTTATTATTTTCAAAGAAATTCCCACTTTATTTTACTATTGAAAATTCTTTTGTTTTAGTTAAAATCCCTATTTTCTAAAATTTTATTTATAACGAAGTAATAAGGATAATTTTGTTTTCTTTACTTTATGTGTACCACTTTCAAGAACCATTTCATTTTGTACACAATAAGAACAACTGGTGCTAATAAATGACCTCATTGTAATATGTGTTTCATTTACTACATAATATTCATATAAGCTACCTCATTTACTTCCTTACTATGCTTGTTTATGTTGCTTTACTTTATATATTTTCAATTTCTCTTATTATTATTATTTATGAATAGTCATAAACGGGATTGCTCTCGACTCTGACAGCGAACGCTAATTTGGTTCATAAAGTATTAAAAATTTGAGATTCAGTTGGCGAGTTGGTATTCTGACTTCACCCCACAACTTCGGTCTGGGAGGGGGTGTTGTAACGCTGTAGATTTTACATCTCTCAAATTCCTCGACCGTGATGTGGACGTGAAGCCCCCTTTTTATTACTAATAATATTGTTAAACTATGAAAGGGGTAATTATAAATAATGTAAATAAAGAATACACACTTAATGTCAAAATACTATAATTTGACTGTCAAAGAGTTCGAGAGCGCATCCTAGCAACAATGTTAATTAAGAATAATTTCTGCCTTAATTTTATTGTTTTGTTTAAGCTCGTTGGACGCAGCTTTCAATAGCGCGAGTCTAACCAATCACTAATAAGTCCTTGGTCTCGGAGTGAAAAGGACTCGGAACACAACTTGAGGGCGTTTAAGTCAGATGAGCAACGTAAAAACAAGGAACAATATTCCTTGCAACAAATGATTATATTTGTTATTTATTTTATTTATTTTGCACTACTCCGAAGCTCAAAGAAAGGCCAGTCCAAGATTAGTTGCTGTTTCGTAAATAATATTAGATCGACGCCTAAGGTGGCTGCAACCCGTCTTACATAGGTTGATTAGAATTAGATTTTATCGACAGGATTACAGCCACTCAAAATTGTATCCAACGAGTTGTAACGAACGAGCTGCCGCTAGGCGCTCGTTCTTCACGTTTTTAACGTCACGGTGGGTGGACAGACAAAATTAAGAGATTCTGGAAATTATACTTTGAATTATCAAAATTTATAAAATTATCTCAACAAATTTATCGAGGTCCTAAATTGAAATAAGGAAAAATAAGAAATAATAAAATTGTGGAATAATGGTGAGTTAGAATATTTATTCGCCATAATAATAAATTCACTTTGTTTTCTCACTTGATATTCGTTCGCTCTCCGACTCTTAGCAAGTCTGTTTTCTTTCAAATGTTAATTGTTTCTCAAAGTTTTAAATATATAGAATAAATGTGAGTTATGTGTGTAAAAGTTAAGTGTTTATTTATTTAACAAAAGTCACTACCCGTTCCTACACCTAGTCGGCAAAATTACTTATTATAAATATTCTAATCTAAATTCTAAATTCTAAATATGGCTTGTATTTTCTTATAAATATTAGAGGAGCAGCCAGGCGCTCAAAATTAAAATAAATAATAAAGATCGCCTTTATAATTTCTCGCCACCAGAGTTGTTTTCCCCAATTCTAAGTCTCTAATTTTCAATAAATGAACCGGCGTGGCGACAGGTTATAATTTATATCAATGGATTCGCATTTCGAACCTGCAAACCGCGTAAAGTTAGTCAACCTGCAATTTTGAACTTTATTTTTAAATGGATGGAAAAAATATTAATTCATGATATTTTAAAAATTCTTTTTGGATTTTTAAATTTGATTAAAAAAGCAATTCAAAAAAAAATTGTAACTTAAATTAGCTAAACAAATGTAAAATTGCTTAGAAAAAAGTGCTTGTCTCTATATTTATACTCCCGCTTCTTTAATTATAATAGTTATACATAATATTCCACAGTGAAAATGCATGAAGGACGCCTATACATATTGGATCTGCTAACTTGAATTAATTTTTTTTTATTACCCCAAAGTTTTTAAATTCTTCTGAAATGATAAGCTAATTTGAAACAATGGCGAAAAGCGGTTGTTTATTTTCTTGGTGAAAATAAGAAACTCTCTGTTTCCAATTTCCCCTACAATTTCAATCAATTCACTTGAATTGTCATAAAAGTTTATGGAATTAGATCAAGACCTCACTATATTTATTTTAGAACAAATTATTTATTATACTTGAAAAAAGTAAATTTTTCTAAAGCAAAAATCCATCCCAAAATATTCATAAAATTGTTATCTAACCGGGGACATTGTTATTCCTTTCCATAATCTGCTCATCGACTAACACAGGATCTTCTTGAGGTTCCGCTTCAATATCACCTATAAATAATAGAATGAAAATTATAGAGCCGTTACTGTAAATGATTTTATTGAATTATTTTATCGTTTTAATAAAAAAGTTAAAGCATAAAAATTTGACACTTTGATATTTTTATTTCTAATCTAAAAATTTCATCACTTTATCACAACTTACGTCTCTCCATTTGATTTTGGTAGTCTTGACGCCTTCAAAAAGATACAACAGACCTTAGAAACTCTTCGACTGTAATTCTGAGTTAATTACAAATAAAAATAAATAAACAATTATGTATATACACATGGAAGTTTAGTTGACCTTCCCAGTAAAAAAAAATAATTCAAACGGATTAAAATGAATAAAGACTTTTGGTAGAAAGCGGGATTCATTCAAGCTCTTTGTATATTCGATCGAATTCGATTCAATTTGCCTGAAATTGTGCAAACGAATTCGTATTCGTAAGAAATGACCAAGGCATGCATTAAATTCGTCCTGACGAATAAAAAAAATTAAAGGCCCCAAAACTTGTCCATTGAATTAGTATGAATAGAAGGTTTGGAAGTTCAATACAGTTTGACGAATTCAGGAAAATTGCAACATAGCTCCAATTCGTATTTGTCACAAAGCGGGATTCATTGAAACTCTTTGTGAATTCTTTTTAATTTATTTCAATTAGTTTTTGTTTACTGGGTTTTAAAATCGGCCAAATATATATATTTTTCTTTTTTGTAATTAAAAAAATAGATACGATATTTAATAAAATGCATTTTGACCTATACATATAGTAAAAAGTGAAAAAAATTGTTGAGCTAATGCACGTTTTTTAGTGGATCATTACATATATATGTTTTTTTTTGGAAAAAATGTCAGCTTTCCAATAAAAATAAAAAAAATTTTTTTAAAAATACCCAATTGTGTCAAAATTAAAAAATAAACTTTATTTTTTAAAAAAAGAGGGTTAAAAGTTTTTTTAAAAATTTTTTTGTAAAATTTTCAGAAAGTACATGAAAAATGCTTTAAATGCATAAAAAAAACATTAAAATCGGTAAAGTATTATAAAAGTTATATGGTTTTGAAAATGGCAGTGTTACTGAAAATGTGAAAACTTCAACCCCCACTACTTTCTACAATTTTTTTTTTAAGAACTAATATTTTGCAAATTTATTACTTTCATATAGGATAACAATTTCCCAAAATATAAAGCCAATCCCAAAACTTTTTTTTTTGGGCTGGGACGTTTGAGAAATAACGCCTCATATATGTGTATTAGGATAATGTGCCACTGAGAAAAATTGCGTTTAACCGAGTGGTAGAAATAGCTCGGTTAAAAAAAAGTATTTTAAAATAAATAAGATATGGTTAATAGAAACTAAGTTATACTGATCATCACAACCGAGCTGAGATGGTTAAAACATATCTGTAAAAATAATTCTCCAAAGGATTGTCTTAACCAATCTGAAAGGTGCATAATGGAAACAAACTTTCGTGGTCGTTGTTACCTATTGTTTCGTCTTTTCCGGAGAGTCGTGTTGTTACAATTCTGGTTTCTACCGACGCGATACAAATTTTTATTGATTATGTTACAGCAGCCATCAAATATAGAATTCATCTACAATAGATACATAAAAATAAAAATGAAATGGAGAATATTAAACGCATTAAACCTTACATCTCCGATGACATATTACACGATGCACGTTAAAGAGGTTAAAAGTATTTCATTCTATTTAAAAGAGATTTGTTTGATTATAAAAAAGAATTTTAATTTACAGAAAATTTGAGTTATCAATTTTTTAATCAAATAGATTTCTTTCCAATAAAAGAAAATAATTTTTATCAAGGTAATATTTTATTGATTAAAAAATATTTTAATCGAGTTGGGTGGTTATCATTAATTAATCGGTTTCTTTATTATAGCAGAGCTAATTGACTACAATATTCAAGTTCATATTATTACTGTAGCCTTTTCAGGTAGCTACAGTAATCGAGTAAGTTAACTAACGTTTACGGAGCATTAATCATAAACTGTTAGTTACAGTAACAGAGAAAGAAGCTACCGTAACCGAGTAGTCTTAACTAGTTTCTACCGAAATTTTTAATCGTATTCGATCGGTTACTGCAAACAATTCACATTGCAAGTGCTATATTAGCAGCATCGCTCGGTTGTTTATAATTAAAACTTGGTTATATTTAACCTTTTATTTTTCTCAGTGTGTGTGTGTTTTTTAGATTCTGTTTAGGTTTAGAAAATAATTAAACAATTTAATTTTTATTTTTGTATCCACACCTTCTCAAATCCAATTCATCAGTGCATTGTAGAATGTGTATGTCATCCAAAATTGATTTGGATCTTCGCGCTCTTCTTACATTATGCCCTGCTTCTTGTCTTTCAAAATCAATATCTTGTCCATCCATGTGAATTCTTAGTCTATCTGATAGGTCAATTTTTTTTTAATTTTATATATTATATTAATTTACCATCATCTAACCTGAACAGAATAAATTGTGAGATGTTAAATCTAAAAAATGTATTATTTTAATCTTTTCTGATATTAATTTAATCTGCAACGCTTTTAAATACTTCATAATTTACTATGAAACAGTTTCAAGTTGAATAATTTGTTACAGCATGTGACTGTTAGAAATTCAATGGTAATTTTTTCGATCATTTTTCTCTTTCAAAATACATTAAGCTGAAATTTTGTAAGAAAGTCTAAAATATAATAAAAATGGCCAGTGATGTGCAAAAGTTTTAATAATTAAAAAATAAATTATAATAAAACACTTTAAAATTAGTGTTGCCGCGATAATGGCGAGAGGCGAGACGAGACAGTATTTTTTTAATTATATCGCTAAAACGATACAAGACGAGGGAGGTGTCACAAGAGACGAGAATTCTCGACGAGAATTTTTTTTAAATGGCAAAGTTTTATTCTGAAAATATAGTTATGGTTAACATATATAAAATATGATAGATATATGTATACTAAAATCTTTTATTGTTTACGTTGCATTTAATAGTCTTTTTAAACAAAATATAAGAAATTATAAATATTTTATATAAATTATATTTTTGTATACATAATATTTAATAAATAAACTCTTTTTTAACTAAAAGTTGAAATTTGATTCATTTTTCAGTGTTTTTGTTAATGAGTAATATTTAACGGAAAATAAATTTTAAAAAATAGTGAAAATAAAAAATTTGGGTTTGGCTCATAATATTTATCTAAAAAAGTTAGCAACTTTTATATTTATGGGACGTTTCACGTTAAGTGTGCCACCCCGTTGGCCAAAATTGAGAGCTTCCTAAAAAATTGGTTATACCCAAAAGTTATTCATATATATAGGTACTTTCGAAAAATATGTGGCCTTTTGAAAAATCCAATATGGCGGCTCCAATATAACCTATAAATGTATCTAAATTAAAAAAAAGCGGCCTAAAAGTGCTAATAAAAAGGGATTGAATGAGAAAATCACCTATGAATTGGGGGTAAAATTAGCACAAGGATACATACTTTGTATTCTATAAGCAAAAACGTTAATTTGATATCGAATTTCAGAAAATAAATATGGCGGATCCAATATGGCGGACAGAAAAATTTTAAAATGCATCGGATTTGCTTAAAAGTTGTTACTCAGGGGTTTTTGGGGTCGCTGATGCCGAATCTGATAATTATTTTTAGAAATTCAAAATGGCGGATCCAATATGGCGGACAAAAATTTTTTTAATTCATCAGATTTGATTGAAAGTTGTTTCTCGGGGGTTTTTGGGGTCGCTGATGCCGAATCTGATGTTTATTTTCAGAAATTTAAAATGGCGGATCCAATATGGCGGACAAAAATATAAATTTTTCAGCTTTTATTGGTACTACTTAGTATTAAATCAATAAATTAAATAACACATTAAGTTAAATTTGTTACAAATATTCTTCAAAATTGTTTAAACAAATATTTGTTATTTATTAACTTTTTAGTTTTTTCCATTGTACCTTGAGGGATGTAGTATTTATCTAATCTTGCAATTTATAAAGCTAATTATAATGACCGATAAAAGTTATAAATGTCAAATCGATATTTCAGCAACTGTTTAATAATCATTTAATTAAACAATTA